TCAGATTACCCATAAATTAGGTAGCTTCTCTGTTGACCCACAGAACTATATCAGGCAATTTGAATTTATCACCAATTGTTATTTACATTTTAAAGATGTTTATGTGATTTTAAATACCACCCTTAGCTCGCAAGAGCGAAATCAGCTGTGGCAAGCAGCTCGAGAAGAAGCTGACCGCAGGCACAGGGCAAATACTACTGACAATGACCCTGGGCCTGTAGCTGTGCCAGACCAAGACCCTAACTGGAACTATCAGAATGGACAAGGTTCAACAAAATTACATAAGATGATTGAGTGTCTGATTGTGGGCCTTAATAAGATCGCTCACAAACACACTAATTATAACAAGCTTTTAGAACAGGTCCAGGAGGCTAAGGAAAACCTGGCTGTGTTTCTAAATCGGCTTCGGGAAACCTTAATTAAATATACCAATGTAAACCCACACTCTCATGAAGGGATGATTGTTGTTAACTCTTATTTTACTTCACGGTCTGCTCCTGATATTCATGCAAAGTTACAAAAGGTTGAACATCGCCCTCAAACTCCACAAGGAGATCTACTTAAACTAGCCTTCCGTATCTTCAATAATAGAGATAAGCTTCAAAAAGAGGAAAAGCAATCTCAAAAATTAAAGTTCGCTAAATATTACTCTGACCTCTTGGCAGTGGCACTCGGAGCTTCCAAGACAAAGAATCCACAACAAGGTGTGGCTGCCCGAGTCCCGCCCGGACCATGCTTCAAATGCAGCAAACAAGGACATTGGGCAAGAGACTGCCCTAACCCTGGCATTCCTCCTGGGCCCTGCCCATACTGCAACAATAAAGGGCATTGGAAGGGTGATTGTCCTAAATGCCAGCGAGCGACTAGGCCATCCCCTAATCCCTCGCCCTCACAAGAGACTTGGTGATTGCCAGATTCGTCGCTGACTGACCTGCTCAGACTTGCTGTGGAAGATTGATGGGGCTCAGGGCTCATAGCCCCCACTCGGGTCACCTTGTCAGAGCCCCGAGTCTCACTGGAAGTCTCAGGCAAAATAATATCTCTGTTTGTGGATATGGGGGCAACCTATAGTGTACTTCCTGAATTTTCAGGACCCTGTACTAAGTCTGATTTCTGTTGTGGGCGTTGACGGCCAGCTGAATCAACCTTTGCAGACTGGGCCTATCCCGTGTAGATTCCAGACTCTTGTCTTTACCCATAGCTTCCTAATCCCAACATGTCCCACACCCCTTTTAGGTAGAGACCTTCTTCAAAAGCTTAATTTTCCTTCACTTTCTCTCTCCCCACAGCCCTAATCCTCCAAACAGCTTCACAATGCGTTGCAAGGCCATTCCCCCCTCTTCCTCCTTCTCTGATTGACCCCATGCTTTGGGACACATCCAATCCCACTCTGGCTACACATGCCACACCTGTTTTAATCCGTCTCAAGGATCCCTCAATTTTTCCCTGCATTCCCCAATACCCAATAGCTCCTCAACATTTAAGGGGACTTAAACCCATAATTAAGCGGCTTTTAGACAATGGTTTTCTTAAACCTCCCCACTCACCCCACAATACTCCATTCTCCTGGTACTCAAGCCTGATGGGTCCTATTGCCTGGTACTGGACCTTAGGGTAATTAACAGTGCCGTTACCCCAACTCACCCAGTGGTGCCAAATCCTTATACCATGCTCTCTCATATCCCTCCCTCCACTACTCACCTTACAGTTATAGATCTTAAAGATGCCTTCTTCACTATCCCCCTACACCCAGATTGCCAGAACCTCTTTGCGTTTACATGGACTGACCCAGACACTCTCAGGTCTCAACAACTTACTTGCACAGTGCTCCCCCAGGGGTTCAGGGATAGTCCCCACTTCTTTAGTCAGGCTCTTGCTACTGACCTCACAGAACTCGATCTCAAACCTAGTGTTCTTCTTCAATACATAGACAACCTCCTATTATGTTCTCCATCCCATATCTTAGCCATACGCCACTCAGCGTCTTCTTAATTTCCTTGCTAGTCATGGATACAGGGTGTCTCCTGCCAAAGCCCAGATAGCCTCCCCAAAAGTCAAATACCTCAATCTCGCTCTCACCCCCACCACTCGCTCCATCACCTCGGATCGTAAGGCAATTCTTCGTGATCTCCAGGTGCCCACAACTAAACGGCAGGTTACATCTTTCCTAGGTTTAGCTAATTTCTTTCATCTCTGGATTCCTAACTTTGCAGCCCTAGCTTAACCCCTCTACAAGGCCGCTAAGGGTCCCTTATCAGAACCCCTGGACCCTACTAGGCCTATACATGCCTCCTTTCAAAAATTAAAAGAGGCTCTCCTCAAAGCTCCAGCTCTTACCCTTCCTGATCCCACCCAACCTTTCATCCTATACACTACTTGTCAGGGCCACAACGCTATAGGTGTACTAGGGCACAAAAAGGGACCTTCTTTTCAAGCAGTAGCTACTTGTCAAAACAGTTAGATCACACAGTAAAAGGATGGGCTCCTTGTCTCCGAGCCCTTGCAGCTGCAGCCCTCCTGACACAGGAAGCTAAAAAGTTTACATTAGGACAATCTATTACAGTACACTCACCTCATCACCTACGTGACCTTATCTCACATAAGGTGCTCCCTGCCCTAATGACCCCTTCTCGCCTTCAACAGGTACACTTAGCTCTCTCTCAAGACCCTTGCAACTGTATTGCAACTAGTGGTCCTCTTAGTATAGCCACCTTACTTCCCACCTCAGAGGGCCATCCTCACCATGGCTGTATAGAGTTTTTACAGATGACTCCCACCCCTTTCCCTAGCACACCTCTCTCCTTGGCCTTTGACACATGGTTCATAGATGGCAGTTCAACAAACACAGACAACCAAAAAAAGGCAGGATATGCAACAGTTAACCAGTCAAGTTATAGAGGCAAATCCACTGCCACCTGGGACCTCTTCCCAGAGGGCAGAACTTATTGCCCTTACAAGGGCCCTTACACTAGCAAAAGACAAGATTATAAATATATACACTGACTCAAAGTATACATTTAGCATCTTATACTCTCATGCCTCTATCTGGCAGGAATGGGGTTTTATTACCACTCAGGGAACCCCCATCATTAATGCTCCCCTTATCCTTAAACTTCTAGAGGCAGCCCAACTTCCAAAGCAGGCAGCAGTTATTCATTGCAGAGGACACCAAAACTCTACAGATCCTATTGCTCAAGGCAATGCCTTTGCAGATTCACAAGCCAAGTTAGCTGCACAAGGGCCCTGCCCTTCTCATCTTCTGTTAGTCCCAAACAGTCTACCTCAGCCCAATTATTCCCCAGAGCAGTGACAGCTACTTCATAAACCAGGTTACATGCAAAACACTCAGGGATGGATTTTTCAGGGATCTAAACTTGTTCTCCCACATCAACAGGCCTCAGACATCATCGCTGACCTACACAACTGTTTTCATACAGGCCCTAGACGAACTCTTAGCCCCAGTAATCACAAGTCACACACCCTTCTCTAAAAGCTATCATTCTTAAGATTACTCACACCTGTGATCTCTGTGCCAGGACCTCTCCTCAGGGACGCATGGCACCCCCTTCCTTTCCTACCCATCAGTTTCGGGACACACCCCTGTTCAGGACTGGCAGATAGATTTTACACACATGCCCTGCCACAAGACTCTCAAATATCTTCTCACCTTTGTTTGTACCTTTTCAGGATGGATAGAAGCTTTTCCCACATCAGGGAAGCTACTGATGTAGTTTCCAAAATCATATTACAAGAAATCATTCCAAGGTTTGGTCTACCTCAGAGTATTCAGTCAGATAATGGTCCCGCCTTTATTTCTCAGATCACTCAACAGGTATCCTCAAGCTTACACATCACCTGGCACCTACACATCCCGTATCATCCACAATCCTCAGGGAAAGTAGAAAAGGCAAATGGCCTCATAAGACACACCTTACAAAACTCACTTTAGAACTACACCAACCTTGGCCTCAACTTTTGCCCTTAGCCTTAGCCAAGCTCAGGGCACTTCCCCAGGCTCCTACTTTCTTAAGTCCTTTTGAACTTATGTATGGCAGGCCATTCTTACTCCATAATCTTCCTACTCCCAAAATCTCCCTCCCCTGGCTGACTATGTCCCAGTCCTCTCCTCCCTCCGACACCTGTTTTGACAACATGCTGATCTCTGCCTTCTGCAACCCTCTAGAGAGGCCAAACCAGATCCTCCCACATCCCCAGGAGATCTAATTTATCTCAAATGTTCTAAATCCACAGGACTACAACCAAGGTGAAGCGGCCCTTACCTGGTCTACTTGGCTACCCCTACAGTGGTCAAAGTTGCTGGACTCCCATCCTGGTTTCACATCACTCAGGCTAAGAGGTGCCCTCCCAGCCCTAAATCTGATCATTCTGAGTAGTCATCTCATCTTCTGTCACCCACCCGTCTCCGTTTCATGAAGGCCTCACAGCCACAGTTAACAGGCTAAGTCATGTTTTGTTATCCAATTAGGTTCCTAATCTCTTATGTTCTATTAATGATCATTTTTACAGCAGGACTCTTGACAGTCTTTCCTAGAGACTCCCACATCATGCGTAAGATCATCTTCATAATGTTCTATGTGATGGCTGTCCTGGTTCTTTCTACCCTCAGCTGTCTGGTTAAACGTGACATCCCTGAAAGCCTAAGCCCTGACCTTCCCTATACTGGTACAGCCACCGCCTTCCCTACTCCCCCTATTTTTTCCAGTTCAACTCCTGGACCAGAGACAAGTTTTACACACTTACCCTCCTAACTTTTATGCTTTCAGATGGGGGAGTAATCACCTCTCATAATTTCACTCCTTCTAACCTCACACTTATTTTTCAGAATTCTACCTCACCGTGACAATGATCCTACCTCAACGTCATCCTGATAGAATAATAACATGTCTAAATCAAAGGCACCTTCCTCTCTACCTCACCTGGGTCCTTAAATATGACAGTGCCATGTCTCCTCATAACATCATGTCTCTTTGTTTTTCCAGTCTGACATATGTACATTCACCAGTGAAGTTGTCCTGGCTAAAACACCTGGCGTCAGAGTCTACCTGGGCATCAACTGTCATCCCGTCAACTCCCCTAGGCTCCCGTACAGCACCCCCTGCCAGCAGGAAGTAGTTAAAGAGAGAAATCTTCACCCGTTTTCATAATAATCATAAGATGCGATATGAAAGGGTTGTTGATCCAGACCGGACACTTTAGCCAGAAAAAGCCTCAGCCGGAATCAGGGAGCTCCTGTCTCCCTCGCCCCTAGAGATTTACCTGTAACTCGATATCCCCCCACCCTTCGGAATCTGCCCCTGGCGCCAAAAGTGTGCCAATGAAATACCTGTATATCTCTAATGGCCTTAGGGCACTACTCTAAGCTTAGGCTACTTATATTCCCCCACGCCATGTGTGAGAGAGATCACCAGATTTCAGCAGCCGGCATGCCAGTCCTCTCTCTCCGTGTTCCCAGAATAAAGGCCTCTTTTGATTTATACTCCTCATCTTTTGGGAATATTTTTCATCTTCTAGAAATAATCCTATCATTCTCCACTGTTGATGGAAATGTAAACTGGTTCAACTATTGTGGAAATCAGTGTGGTGATTCCTCAAAAACCTAGGACTAGAGGTTCCATTTGGCTCAGTCATTTCCCTCCTGGATATCTTCCCAAAAGAATTAAAAGCCACAGCAATATATGCACACTTATGTTCATAGCAGAACACTTTGTAATAGCAAAATCTTGGAGACAACCCAAATGCCCATCAACTAGTGACTGGATAAAGAAGATATATTTTGCCAGGCATGGTGGTACATGCCTGTAATCCTAGCACTCAGAAGGCTGAGGCAGGAGAATTGCTGTGAGTTTGAGATCAGCCTGGGTTACAAAGTGAGTTCTAGGTCAGCCTGAACTGCATAGTGAGACCCTATCTCAAAAAGACCAAAAAAATGTTTTTTATACTTGAGATATTTCTAGGAAAATATATGTACCTTGACTCCACACTGTTAAGTGAAATAAACCAGACACACATGTATAAATATCACATTGTTTTTCTGGTGTGAGAAGCTGATAGTGTAAATAAAGACCAAAATGTATAACAGGTATTGCAAAACAGGAAGAAAATATTCAAGTGGGGAGGGGAGCATAGGAGAGGAGGGGGGAAAGAAAAGAAAGGAAAAGTAAAAAAATGAGAAAAGGAAAATAAGCAACAAAGCTTTGGAAACGGAGAAGTGAAAGGGCATTGAAGGCAGGTAGGGGAATGGGAGAAAAAAACAAGTTTTATCACGCACAGATGCAAGTTCTCTATGAGAAATGTGATTGCTATATATATCTAAAATGTACTAATAAAATCTAATTTAATTTGTTTTAATTGTGGGTGTTGGCCACTCTGTGCCAGCAGCCAGAAAACTAAAATAAACACAATCCCAATGTGCAGGTCCCTCTGGTCATCTGGTTTTCACATTTTGTGACTTCTCAGTGTCCCTCAACTTTCTTACCCTCTCATCTGGGTATTTAACCCCTCAGGGGTTTGGGACGTGCAGCCGGCTCTGCACCCCCACTGTAGGGCTCAGGGCTGGCGGGGACACCCTGAGGCTCACCTTCACCCTGGGGGCCCAGCTTGTGGGTGAACTTCCCGTCCAGCCTAAGGAAAGAAGAGATCCACAGATATGGGGACCCAATAGGCTATATATGCAATATTTAGGCTGTGCAAAAAATGCCTCCACACACAGACATTTTAAAATACATTGTGGGGTGTGGTGGTGTATATTTGTAAATCCCAGCACTTGGGAAGCTGAGGCAGGAGGACTGGCATGAGTTTGAGGCCAGCCTGGGCTACACAGTGAGTTCAAGGCCAGCCTGAATCACATAGTGAGAACCTGTCTCAAACAAACAAACAAACAAACAAACAAACAAACAAGATAAGATGCAAAATTAAAACAGAAACTCTGTCGTTTCTTTCTGCACCCAGTGGTGCAATCTTGGGTACACCCCTCTGGAGACCACTTTTCACTATTGCTGTCTTTGAAGGATTAAAAGAAAAGACTGGCGGGGCTGGGGGTTTAGCTCAGCGGCATAAGCGCCCGCCTTGCAAGCAGGCAGCCGTGAGTTCGATCCCTGGTACCGATAAAAACAAAAAAGACCAAAAAAAAAACAAAAACAAAAACAAAAAAAAACAGTAGCAAAAAAAAAAAAAAAAAAAAAAGAAAAGACTGACAGCCAAACCTGAGGATGACTGGATGTTCTCGGTACCAGCTCTCTCCCTGCAGAGCGGAGACCTGTTGATTAAACACGTGGGGAGGCAGGACATCATGACCTCAGTGGAAAGAAAAACACACTGCTGAGTGGATCCGAAGCCCACTCCACGGGAACCAAACGCAGGAGCTGGTCCTGGCTGCTGAGGCAGGACAGCAGAACAAGCTGCCTCTCTGTGGTGCACAGCATCCTCTTTGTCATCCCTCGGAGACCACTGTGTTACCACGGTCCCCTCCCTCCCTCCGTGGAGCTACAGGGTGCTAGGGCGCCTGTCCGGGAGGAGCGGCCGCCAGGGGGCGCACGCGGGGCGAGTACGAGCATGCCGGGTGCTGGGAGCCGGTTTGGCCTGATGAGCGTGGTCCCTCTCCTGTGTAGTGATTGTGGAAGTCCCCACATCAGAACACAGTACTGAGCGTAGGTACAGAAACGCGACGTTCTTGAAGAGTTAGCGTTTCTCACACAGAGACGGCCAAGGACCCAGGGAGCAGGCTGGAGATCGACCTCAGGGGTGTAAGCGCCTGCCTGGAGAGCGCAAGGTCGTGAGTTCCATCCCCGGTACAAACAAACATCTAGGAAGAGAGGGAAATGGGTATTTGAATTCTGTTTTGGCATGTTAGTAACGATCTGGGTCCAAGACTGAGGACTTTTGGCGATTTCAAGGATCTGGTCACTTATGCGCTGCTATAGGGAGCCTGAGGCAGAAAGATCGCTATAAATTCGAGGCCAGCCTGAACTGCATGGTGAGACCCTGTTATAAAACAGATAAAATTGTTCTGAGACAGCGCCCTCGATAGAAGGGTTCTTGGTTCCCCAGAGAAACTCAGTTGAGAAAGACAGGGCCAAAGGACTGAGGCTGGCTCTCCAGATGTGCACAGAGCAGGTTTCCAGGGAGGTGGGTGGCGACCAGCAGGCAGGCGGTGGGGTGGCGGGCAGGCGAGTGAAGCCGAGGCTGGGCTAATCTTCAGGGCGGCTCTGGACGGGCACATCTGTAGGGGGCGACAGTGAGGGGACTTGGGCAGCCAAGGACAGTTGGTGGCATGCGTGGAAAGAAGCACCTTTCCTATCGCTGCTGTTTTCACGAAAGCTAACCCTGATTGATTTCAACAAATATTTCAAAAACAAAAGGTGTAAAAAAGTCTAAAAAAAGGCGGGGCGTGGTGGCTCACGCACTGGGGAGGCTGAGGCAGGAGGATCCTTGCGAGTTCGAGACCATCCTGGACTACAAAGTGAGCTCAAGGCCAGCCTGAACTGCATAGAGACCCTGTTTCAAAAAGACAAAAAAAGTTCAAAAAAATTTTAAATGAAGATTGGAGACCGATGTAGATCAGAACATAGAGTGCTTGCTTAGCACAGCAAGACCCTGGGGTTTGACCCCTAGAGCCACACCTGCACCCCAATGCAGGCAGGTGCTCAGGTCTTTCTGGCCGGAACAAATCGCCTTCACGTCCCCTGCCTCTGCGCAGACTTTGGGTGAGGTGTCTCCGTATGGCGAGAGAAACACCGCCACCTGCTGGCACTTTTGAGAATATCAGCGTCCCCAACCCTCCAAACTGTCTCCAAGCTTCCCCTGGCCTCCAGGGCAGGGTCCTCAGAATCCAAGACCTGTGGCTGCCCTTTTCCCACAGACCCAGGGGGGAAATGACTCAACTTACCAGAATATAAACATAATCATCCAAGCCTCGTTTCCAACCTTTAAGAACCGGGCTGAGTGAAAATTCCAATACAGCACTTGTCTCCCAACATGATCTTTTTTTTTTTTTTGTACCGAGGATTGAACTCACAACCTACTGCTTGCCAGGCAGGCACTTTATGCCGCTGAGCTAAATCCCCGGCCCTGTCCTATCTTTCTGTTGGCGTCATAGATGTGAAAACAGCCAAATAACATCAGATTAGATGAGCAAAACCGCCCTTTCCCCTAGCCTCACCTTCCCCGTTGTGGGGCAAGCTCCAGCTCAGCTGCCGCATCTGCCTCATGGGATTGTTGTGAGGATTAAAGATCCTGGTGCACAGCCCAATAAAAGCTGGCTCTTACTGTTCAGAATGTGGTTCTCAGATTCTGTGAGCTGTGAACGCGTGATTAGTCTAAGGCTCTGTGAGGTCCTGTGGCCCGGATCTTCCGCACTTCTGTCCCAGGCCTCCCTCTTCCCCGCCGTCCTTGGGTTCCTAAAAAACAAAAGCCAAACAAGGCAACGCCCACCGTGGCTCCAACACACAGCCAGGACTGAGCGGGAGGAACTGGAGGCGCAGTGGAGGAGGAGTTGGAGAAGCTTGCAGGGCCTTGCTGGTGGTGGAGGGGCTGTGCCAGGAGGGAAGGGCTTCTAAACACCTTGCTTGGCAGGCCATGGTTGGGGGCAGGAGGTGGGCAGGGAGGGAGGCTGAGGCTGAGGCTCCGGGAAACAGTGTTGGGGCCCACTCTGTTCCTCATATTCTGTTAGTTTGTTTGGGGTGGTGCTGGGAATTGAATCCAGGGCCTTGTGTGTGCTAAGCGGCAAGTCTCCCCCTGAGCCACATCCCTGGTCCCTTGTCCTCACATTCCTCCCGGGCTCTCTCTGAGCTAGACTGGGGTGGGGCTGGGGGGGAGTTGGGGGGTACAGCGAGATGCTTTGGAAAAACAGTGCATTCCAGAAGGAAATTTAGGGCCAATGACTGCTCCTCCTCTGAGGCTTGAGGCTGTACTTGAACCTCAGACCTTGGGAGATGCTGTTGCTCAGCCTCCCGGCCTGGGGTGAAAACATTCGCTCTCAAGTCTTCCTGCTCCCCAGAGCACAGCCCACGCAGAGCGCACAGTGGGGCTGGAATCGTGTCATGAGCTGGTGACGGAGGGAGATACCGTGTTGGAACACCAGCTTTCACCAAGCATTGCAGGTGTGTACTCAAAACACACATCATGGTTTGTGAACCACCACAAGAGCAGTTGACTGTATTTTGTATTCTCAGAAATGAGCATGGCTGACAGACGAAAAGCCTTCAAATTCAGTGTCAGAATTCAGATATGCTCCACAGGAGCCATCTGAGTTCAGTGGCAAAACCATAAGTATAGCTGCTGTGTTATTCCATAAGCAAATCCGATTAATTCAGAAAGTACATCATTGCTGTTTGGTAACAGCAATGAAACAAGACATGAGATTGCAACATTGTGTGAACAAAAAATATAAACTGCAAAATATAAACATGCAAAAGATACAGGATTGACTTTGGCATGTCACAGAATGCACAGGGTGGGTAGCTCCCATGTAAATGAGGTGTGGGTGGGGTAGGGAGTGTGGCCTGCTTGCTCTTCAGGAGGTGGGTGGCAAGTTTCATTCCTGTGCTAACCTAAAAGTGACAGAAAC